GGAAAGGGAAAGTATAGACAGCAAACAATGTCATGGGTGTTTGTATTCATGTTGTGTCTTCATATAGGAACCCAGTCCAACAAGTCAGTATTTGATGAAAAGAGATGATGTGTAATACATGCCGGTTATGAATTTCAGTACCTTGAGGTTCTGGTTCTCAAGCCTCAAAGCAAGCACGTCTCCAGAAGCGTCTTCATTGACAATCGCCTAGCAAAATGAAGAGGACGAGCATAAAAGTTAAAAAAAAACAAAAAATGAGGAGATTAGAGATAATAAAGAAGTTAAGTGTATTGCTTGGCAAAGTTCATAACTTTGCTCATTGAAGAGATGTTCCGAAGGTGAACCACTCCATCACTTTTTTTCCTTTTTTCTTTTTTTTTTTCCTTTCATAAAGGCTGTGCAAATTGCTGAAAGTCTATTATTATCTGAGTGATTTAAATGTACCTTTCATAACAGTGAGAAATTCGGGAATATGTAAATATGATTGAAAGAGCTACTTACATGATTTTTAATAAATTTGGCACGTTGTGCGAACTTTAATGTGCTTAGTGTCTCAAGCGAACAGCTGCAACAGCATAGTAGAAGTTCACGTGAATCTTATCAGTAACTTAACAAATAGATTGCTGGAGCACATAAGAAATTAGAATGATTCGAAGTTGTATGTGCAGTAACTCAACAGTTAAATTTCAGAAGACGGGCACCAAAAAAAAAATGTCAGTCATTTAGACAAGCACTGACCAGGAAGAAGGACTAATGTTTGCAATGATAATTGTTTTGGCATTTCCTCCCAGTGAATCCTGCAGAAAGTTGTGTTTATAGATATCATAATTCGTAAATCAACAAAAGTGGAAAAAAGGAAAAAAGTCACTTTTGATACTCATGTGTGCACAGTATGTAGATTATATGAAAGCATCAAGGGAACAGATTTTAGAAACAAGAAGAGAACCAATCAAACAATTTCAATTTATGTTCATCCTCTGCAGAAGTCAATTTGGTAAATGTGGTGTCAAGAAAGAAAGAAAATTATTTTGATACTAATTCAAAGATAATCTGTTTGAATGATAATAATGCATCAACCTTCCAGACAAGAGGCAGAGGCCTGATCTACAATGACCTAAACTAGTGACTGGACAAATAATAGGATATGACAACCAGGCATGACAATCATGGAACGCCAACAGATGATAAAGGTTTTAAGGCAGAGTTATCCAACCTGAAGCAGAAAAGTGAGCTTGGAATCCCTGTAAGGGACATGTATTGACTTGCCATTGGATATGCTAACAAGGTTCATTATAACAAGCCTGCATATCAAAAGAACATCTGAGTCTCAGATTAGATGTCTAAAATCAGAACATAATTAAGGATGATCATATTATCTCAACCTGACAGCACGTGGGAACAAAATTAAACATACCCTAAAGTAGAAAGAGATTTGTTGATGTTCGTAGCTTCTTTCAAACGTTCACCTTCTGCGCCGGAGCTCTTTTGCCTAAAATTGACAGCAAAATGTGAAGATAGACATAATTTTTTTTTATCAAACAGCATGATTGTCGAATAAATACTTTCCCATTTGAATGTTGTCACACTAAATCCACCTTTCAGATCCTGCTAAATCCACGAGATTAAGTCGAGCAAACCGATGATGAGTTACCCCCTGGGATTCCCACTGAAAGAACAAATACATTACATTTCAAGATCGGCTTTCATGTTAAAGTTCATCATTTTTATTATAACAACTCCGTGTAGGGGTGGACTTTAATGGTAAAGTTAAACAAGGCATGCTTAGGTTAAAGTGAAAAATGATTATTTTTACCTTACTCTCTATTATGCAAGTGAACACACTATGAGAGCGACTACTTGCACGGTTCATGTTAGTTGCAGCAACCTTTCTGTTGGCTGCACCCTGAAAATAAGAACATCCAACCGCGTAAACTAAGATGATAAGCTAATAACAATGAAGGTTACAACTCTCATTCAGCATCATAGCACCTCTACATATTTTGAGTAAGAAATGAAATATAAGTCTGCTTATGATATCACTTTATCCTTCAATATACTCTCTTCATTTTCAATAATTTATATAAATTCAGAATCATGGCTATGATTATTTAACCAGACAAGAAAGAAGGGAAACATCAGTATTCCGATGCCGTTACACTCTAGTTATGCATACGTATATAATAGAATAATCCAATATTCCTTCAATACATTATAAACAAATCGTTTCAAAATATTAAACAAAGGTGACCATCCTGTATAAAGGAATTGACGAAACCTGAATTAGCTGCTGGATCACATCTCGAGCACTATTGACTTCTATCTCAGTGATATTTTCGACATAAATACCTTTCTTATTGTCTTCTCTTATCTGCAACGGGCAAACTACCAGAGTCAATGAGCTTTTTTTTCATTTAGATTTCTACCAGGAAAAAATGACCCACAGAAATGGGAAAATTGATCAACAAGGTATTGTGTATTTCAAGAACATGAGAACGCACGATGTCTGATAGAAGAATCATGGCAAAGTTAGGATGTTGAATCTATTTTATCACCATTTTTATATGGAATAAATTGCTTAACATACTAGTTGTCTGCAATGGATTAAATCTTGTTTCAGTGGAGGCCCAATAACGACTTTTATATAAATATAATTTAATAGCTGATTTATTTGATCTACATAAGCTAAACCTATGTTGAAAATATTTACCAACGACATATGTGGATATGAAGTATCAGGCGGCACTTTCAGCTCAAATGTTTTAATATAAAAAGGGACAAAAGTTATATAGAGAGATTAAAGAAAGGATTTTTTGAATGTGTGCTTATTCATATTATAATACTTCAGAAGAAAATAACTATACCTGCAAATTGGAAGATGAAGGATCCAAGAGATCTAGAATTTGTTCATTGTAGATTTCAAGGAAAGAACATTTACAAGTAAATTTTAACTTTTCCTCCCGCCGGGCATCTTTGTCCTGTAAATTCAAAAGGAATTACAGTATGAAACTTTAGATATTGGTCCCGCAATATGTTATAAAGCAATCACTTCCAGACTAATCTTAATGAAAGCCAACTAGAAAGTAGTTCTATTCTGCATCAGCATCAGGAATGAAAGTAATAAAGACACATGACACAACGATCAAAAATAAATAAATAAATAAAGACACATGACACAATTTTTCTGTGGCATGAAAAGCTAAAAACACAACATATGTTAATTGCACTATTAATGACTTTGATGTACACCCACAAAAATATAGTAAAAGCCAAACCTCTATTCAATATTTGATGCTCCAGTGATCTTCATAGATTTGGCAAGCAATGTATTGGTAATCTTAGGAAATCATCATGCGACCATATATTCTCTCTAAGTTCAATATATAATACACTAACAGCTTACCTTTTGGATTCTGGAGAACAAGTACTCAAAGACTCTAGGCGTCATGCCACAGTTAACACTGTGTCTCCGAGTACCTCCCTCAATATCTCCAAGCATTGTGTGGGTTTTGCCACTTCCAGTCTATGTAAAAGAAATCAACAGAAGCTCATTAAGTTGGTCATTCTCTCAATTTATAACATTAGACAGGAAAAGAGCTAGTCATACCAACAGTCAATAAGCTGGGCACTAATGCGTGGACAAACAATAACAAAAGTATTGCTTGAAAAGGTTAAATGTTTAATCATGCTCAACTTACTTGACCATAAGCAAACATACAGCTGTTGTATCCTTCCATGCAATTCTCTACCAGTGACACTCCAGCTACCTTGAATAGCATTTCCTGATGATGTAACAAAAATGAGATTCATGAAAAATTAAGAAAAAACTTACAGAAATAATTCATATACCCACAATGTTTACATACCTGGCTAACAGTTTCGTCAGCCACGAGATCAAATGTAAACCGGGATTCGGGATGCCCTGTCCAAGTAATTGTCTGAGAACTATCTTGCCTGACACATCTATTATTGCCTTGAACGGACATCTCAGAGCTACTCAAGGGACGCAATCTAATAATAACCTGCAAAATGACGAAATCGATAATATAATAGAAAAAAGTACTAATTCTATGTATGTCAGTGTTAGTTTTTCCATCTAGAGTGACAATAACTTGATAATTGCTGGCATTTATGACAGGTAACTTCCAGAAAACTACACGTTAAAGAAAACAATTGAAACATTATTTCCTACTGTCCAATTCAGATTCAATAATTCCTACTAACACGGCTTTTCAAAAAACCTATTGCCCTAAATCTCACTACCACGGCTTTTCAGAAAACCTATTGACCTAATAACCCTAATAAAACAAATCTATACCTGAACGTTGTGCTCTTTCCAAAAGTTTGGATCCTCTTGGAACTCAAAACTGCGGCCCCCGGCGTACTGTGTGGCTTCACAGTCATCAGGTTTAGATGACTTGTCTTTGCAAGAAGCAGACGGCAACAGAAAATTTTCTCTCGAAGATGATTTCAAAAGCATATCGGGAGATCCGAAGCTCTTCTCCGGCGCCGGAGCTATCTCCGCGGCGTCCGGCTGCTGATGTGGGTGGTAACCAAAACGGGATTTGACTGCGCTCGTCATCGACTCCGAGATGCTGGAAAACAACGGCATTCCAACGAATTCGTCGAAGATTTGGAGAAAATTTTGGTGATGGATTGTGAAGAAGAGAAGAACTGAAGAATTTAGAGAGAGAATCCGGAGAGAGATGAAGGAAGGGTTTGGGGAAGAGGAGGCCTGAGTGTACCGTTAAAAGACATTTGAAAATTTTTGAATATGGAGCCAAGTTTTTTGAATGTCGGTTATGCCCTCGGTGGATTTTTGAAAATCATGAGCTTTTGTGGAAACTCAAATTAAATGTAAAAATCATTCGCGTGATGGTGCTTATATTTACCTTTCATAAATCCAATTTGAAAATTCTTATTCTTATTTAAGTATTAATAGTAGTGAAAAGTGTTTAGAAAGAAGAGTGATGAATTCAAGCGTAGGAATCTATATTTATATCAAAAATAATCATTTACTAAACATAGTAACCACAAATAATAATTAAGTCATACTATAATGAGTAAGATTTAAATATTTATAAATCAAATGCATTAAATGCATTCGTTAATCTCGGTCGCATTTGTAAAAATTCTGACGAATTCACTATAACGTCTAGTTGCTGATATAAATCGGCAATGATTTTTAACAAAAAAAATATAATTTTTAACTATAATATCTAATTTACTAATATTATTTAGGTTGTAAATTACTAACAACAGTAATATTTTAAGTAATCTTAAACATTATCTGAAAAAAAAAAAATTACACATTCTCTATATTAAGGAGTTATATCTCTATATATACATATATGGATGCTAAATTTAAGTATTTTTAGACATTTTTCCTGACAAAAAAAAAAAAAAAAATTAGAAAAATTTTAGGTAACTTCATACTTTTATCAAGAATAATATAAAATATTTTAGATACTTTATACATAAGTTATATGATATTTTAGGTGTTTTAATATATATATATATATATGTGTGTGTGTGTGTGTGTGTGTGTGTGTGTGTGTGTGTGTGTGACACTCCACAAAATGAGCACGTAAGACTCAATCTTAGCCATTCATTTTGTGTAGATCAATGTATCATATTGATCAATTGGAATACACATTGAAGTGAATAAGATTCACCCGGGCTCCTTCAACTCGAACCGACCTCCGTACCTGCAGAACCCAAAGCCGGGGGTGGCCCCAGCGTCGGGCCTCCGATGCTTAAGTCAGTGCTCGGATCCAGAGAGAGAAAATGTGTAGTAATGAAATAAGGAGAGAATGAGAGAGTGAGGTACCTTGGCCCCCTTTTATAGGGGGAGTGTACCTTTTGGGCCCAAGTTGGGCTTAAATGTCTTAGTGGGCTTATCCTCCAATATGTATCTGCTTTATATATAAACCGGGTCCAGTATAATATCCTATATCATCTAGTCCCCCCCACTCTGGTCGAGTAAGCATAACTCGATCCAAGAGTGGAATGCCTTTCCGAGCTGTTTTCTTGCCACTAAGATCGAGCACCGGAAGTCGAATGACCATTGAATAATAATATCCTCCAAATGAGCATTGAGATTTCAAGATAAAAAACCAAAAGACCACGGAGGTTGGAAACTGAATGATCGGACGTCGGGGTCGAACATCGAGTGATCTGGGACCCAAAAATAAAAACCGAAAATTGAGAGACCGCTGAGATCGAAAACTGAGAGTCGAGACCGCGGAGGTCAAGAACCGAGAGTTGAGACTGCTGAGGTCGAAAACTGAGAGTCGAGACCGCAGAGGTCGAAAACCGAGAGTCGAAACCGCGGAGGTCGAAAACCGAGCGTCGAGACCATGGAGGTTGAAAACCGAGCGTCGAGACCGTGGAGGTCGAATATCGAGAGTCGAGACCGTGGAGGTCGAAAACCGAGCGTCGAGACCGTGGAGGTCGAATATCGAGAGTCGAGACCGTGGAGGTCGAAAACTGAGCGTCGAGACCGTGGAGGTCGAATATCGAGAGTCGAGACAGTGGAGGTCGAAAACCAAGCGTCGAGACCGTGGGGGTCGAAAACCGAGCGTCCAGACCGTGGAGGTCGAATATCGAGAGTCGAGACCGTGGAGGTCGAAAACCAAACGTCGAGACCGTGGAGGTCGAAAAC